CACAGAGAGTATAATTTGCTTTAATAATTCTGTTTTTCATTTGGTTTTCAAGATCTGTCAGGGATCACGGCATTCACATACATACATAATATACTAAATTTGTATATACAAATTATTTGCAAAAGCATGGGAAAAGATTTGACAAAGCTTTTGTAAAATAAACAACTAGTATAAAACTACATTAAAGCTCCTGAAAACCAGGTGGAGCTGGGTCAGGAGATCCTGAAGACTCATCAGGACTTATCCAGAATAAATCTGTCTAGCAATGACACTAATCCACCCTGCTATTTAGAGTTACACAGGCATATTTCAAGATAAATTATGAGAAATGAAGGATTAGGTGACCCTCAAATCACTAATTTCAATCCAAAATTATCAACAAAGGGTCTTTTATAAACTTACTTTTGCTTTGATGTTAAATTTACAGAGAGAGAGAGAGAGAGAGAGAGAGAGAGAGAGAGAGAGAAACATCGACAAAGGAGGTTTGGCAAAGAATTATTTGCCAAACGCAGTGATACAATGTTTATGAAACCACATGATAAGATAATACACAAAGAAAACATTGGCTATTTAATTACTCAGGAGAAAAAAGGTAAGGAGGAAGGAGGGATACAGTTAAGAAGCAATTTTTAGGCTTTCAGATACACAACGGTGGTGGCAGGCAGAACATCAGGGCAAATCTTCCTTTTGATTTCTTCTGAACACTAGTGGATATCTGTGTAAGGTGGTATAATTTAGAGAAAATTGTGATTGCATCAATTTGGCCTTACCCTTGGCCTGACTTTACATTCCTCCCCAGAGATCTCACTCGGACTGCCCTTCAGTACACTGCTCCAGAGAAATCTGCCCTCTGTTGTCAGAAACTGGCTTATAAGTAAGTTCTGTTGGTAATTATGATTTTGTCCATTTGAAAAGACTTTTAACTTTGGCTGGCTCTTTTCCAATTACAGGTTTTTGAGTTTGCTTTTGGCTTTTAATAGCTTGACCATTTCTGGCTTCTACAGCACTGTAACATGGTAACAGCTAAACCACAGGTTTGTCAGTCTGTGTTCTCTCCTTCTCTCTCTTTCTTTCTCCTCATTTCCTAGTAACTTATCATGTCATCTTCCTGTTTTAATACTACCACTGATTTCTGTCCTAGTCCTACTGTCGCTATATCCCCAGGCCATACTTAAGCATTTGGGGATATGTTTTTTTTTTCCTTGTTAGAATAGTTTTCAGAAGAGGTCAAAGTAAGCATGACAATTAAATTTTACATTTCTGAGTTGAAAAAACTAAGTTGTTCTTCCAGAACAGTTTTGGCTTGTATTTTCAGTCTAAGGCTCCCCTCTACTCTACATTTTAGGATAAGAAGAGGTTAACGATGAGCAAGTTGTTCATGAACCAGCAGTTACTGCTCTTACTACAGGAATTGCTAGGTACATAGTGAGGGATTCCAGGTCTTCTAGGGACAAAAGTGGGCACTTTGCCTTGGTGCAATTGCCCCACCCTAATCCTCTCCATACCTGGGGAAGGAGGAAATATCCTACAAATCTGCCAGTCATAAATAACTTAGTGTGCCAGCTGCAAAAGAATGCAGCGGATTCTCACGGGCCAAGCAGCACAGGTACCATAGAGTCCAGAAATTGACAGAGAACAACCTGTAGGCATAGTTAAGACTCAAGTCATATGACTCCCAACTGTCCAATAAAAGTGGTTCCATGGTGATGTCTGAGCCACAAGGGAGGTCCCGATCCAGGCACTATAAAACAAGACGCGGACCAAAACCAGGCCCTTTTTCTTGTCCCCTTCCTTTTGCTCTCACTTTGCTGCTACAGTGGGTCTGGTCATCATCTGTGGAGTGTGTATCATGCTCTATAAACCTACATCTTGCTCTTGCCCCATAATCCTATCTTCCCCTCCTCAATAACCCTCGTTTTCGTGCTTGCCTTACTTTGGTGCAGCTGGTCATTATTCTGCCATGAGTGCGTCAAGAACTGACATTTTCACACTGAAACCTGACACATTCAGTTTGGATTCAGTCTGAGAAGGCACTATAGCTTTTAAAATCACTACATAGTGCATCCATCGCCGGGGAACCCACAGAAAAATTAACTCAAAATGGATCACAGACTTAAATATAAGACAGAATACTATAAAACCCTTAGGAAAGAAAACAGGGGAAAATCTTCAGAACCTAGAGCTAAGCAAAGAGATGTTAGAATTGACACCAAAAGCACAATTCATAAAAGGAGAAATGGATAAATTGAACCACATAAAATTAAGAACTTTTGATGCACAAAAGACTGTTAAGAGGATGAAAAGACAAGCTACAGACTGGGAGAAAATGTTTGCAAACCACATATCTGACAAAGGACTACGTTCTAGGATGTATATTCATAAAATATACTCATAAAAACCAAACAATTAGAAAATGGGGAAAAGACATATAAAGGGATTTCACTGAAGAAGACATACAGATGGCTAATAAGCTCATGAAAATATGTTCAACTTCACTAGCCATTAAGGAAATAGAAATCAAACCTGCAATGAGATATCACTACATACCTATCAGAATGGCTAAAATATTAATAAAAAATAGTAATAACATTAAGTGCTGGTGACAATGCAAAGAAACTGGCTCACTCATACTTTGCTGATGGGAATGTAAAATGCTACAGCCATTCTAGAAAAGAGTATGGCATTTTCTTACAAAACTGAACATACACCATTTGGTCCAGCAATTGCATGCTTGGACATTTATCTCAGAGAACTGAAAACTTATGTTCACACAAAACTCGTACACAAATGATCCTAGTAGTTGTGTTAGTAATAGCCCAAACTGGAAGCAACTTAAATGTCCTTCAATGGATGAATGACTAGAAAGCCGTGGTACATCCATATCATGAAATGGTACTGAGCAATAAAAAGGAACGAGCTATTGATACATTCAACAGCTTCCACAGAGCTCAAGGCAATTACGCTGAGTGGAAAAAAGCTAAACAACAAAGGTTACATATTGTATGATTCCATTTACATAATATGCTTGAAATGACAAACTATAGAGACTGAAAACACATTAGTGGTTGTCATGGTGGTGAGTAGAGGGAGGGAGGGAGGTAAGTATAGCTACAAAAGGGTAGCATGTAGGATCCTTTCAACGCAGTTGTTCTGTATCTTGACTGCGATGGTGGCCACACAAATCTACACATGTGGCATAACTGCACAGAACTAAATACATACAAATACACATACACAATGAGGGCTTGTAAACCTGGTGAAATCTGAATAAGGTTGGTAGACTGTATCAACGTCAATTTCCTAGTTGTAATATTATACCATAGTCTTGCAAGATGTTACCACTGGGAGAAACCGAACGAAAGATACAAAGTATCTATTACTCCTTTCAACTACATGTGCATCTACAATGATCTCAAAATAAAAAGTTATGTAATTCTTATTTATTCTAAATGTCCTATCTTTCTAACGTCTCATCCATGATATGCCTGATTTCTTCCTTTCCCAATCTGGTTACTCTCTGTAGTCCTAATATCAGAAAACATTTCACTAAAATTAGTAGTTTAACTCTTGCTTCCAAAACCCTTATTTATGGTTTATTATTCCTAACTGGAGCATGCCCTTTGGAGATGGCTCTACGTTTGAATACTGACTCTTACGCTGCATGAAATAGACAAAATACTTTCTGAGTCTTAGCTACCTCACTGGTAAAATAGGGATAAAGTAACCAATGCCATAGGTTTATTTTGAAGATATATAAAATAATAAATAAAGCACTTAGTACATGGTAGATCCTTAAATTGTTTCCTTCCTTTTCCTATTAACAACCTAAAATCCACCTTAATTACTGCATAAAAACATCAACAGCAAACTTTGGTTTTAGTTCCACGGCCTGTATTTAGAAAACAGAAAATGCATCTTTAATGAGCATAGATTGGGGGTTGGAGATACGAAGAGGCTAAATTCAGTTCTTACGAAGTACTTCAATTTAGGAGAACCATAATGATCATTTTAAGACTATGTTTTCTCAGTTTAAAAATATTCTGCCTACCAAAATGACTTATAAATGTTTAGCATATCATTTCGGTGACTGCCAGATAGATGTTTAAATCTGTAAACAGTAACCAATCATATATCAGATTACATCTATTCAGATATTATCAAATGTATGCATGTATATATATATATATATAGTCTCACTGTGTTGCCCAGGCTAGAGTGCCATGGCGTCATCCTAGCTCACAGCAACCTCAAACTCCTGGGCTCAAGCGATCCTTCTGCCTCAGCCTCCCGAGTAGCTGGGACTACAGGCATGTGCCACCATGCCCGGCTAATTTTTTCTATATATTTTTCGTTGTCCAATTAATTTCTTTCTATTTTTAGTAGAGACGGGGTCTCGCTCTTGCTCAGGCTGGTTTCGAACTCCTGAGTTCAAACAATCCACCCGCCTCGGCCTCCCAGAGAGCTAGGATTACAGGCGTGAGCCACCGCGCCCGGCCCGTGTATACTTTTTGTTGGACAAGTTCAAGCATTAAAAATGATACTGATTCCAAAATATAATTTTATCCATTTCACCTACCTACAGAAACATTTTTTAGTAATGGACTCCCCACAAGGTGATGAGCTTTAATGTGTCAGATTTTTACTTATAGCTCAACTAATTAAGCTACAGAGCAGCAGGAGGTAAGCACTCAGGATTTTAAATTCAAGGTAGGTTGTTAAGCGTAAGATTCAGAGCAATCTGCAGGTCAGTGCGTAACAGCTGGCTTCTCTGAGCAGCACTGCCTAAGTAAGAGAACTGTCAAAGACAGAGAAGAACCAAATGTTATTCCTCTAATATAAATAAGAAAATGGATGAAGCAAAGTATATTTAACTTCTACTAGTTATCCTCTCTGTTTATAAACAGTCACAAAACAAAAAAGACCATGTAATACTTGAGGATAAAGTCCCTCAAATATATTTTTTTAAAGTACTGATATAATTTTGCAAAGTCAATGCTTACCGAGCAAAATAACTTTGTTTCCGTTCCTTCTTCTCTTCCTTGGTATCCATAATACACAATCAAAAGTGCAAAGTATTTGAAAAAGTTCTTTTTTTAAATCAATGAGTCATAACCCTGTAATAGAAAATAACAAAGCAACTGTAAATTTAAAAGTGTATAATAGCCAATAGGAAGAATAAAGCAGAACACAGTTATATATCCCAAAACAAGTGAAAGATAAACTTTAACCAGGAAACAGTCACATGAGTCAAATACAAAATGCAAATACCCATGGCAGGGAGGGAGGTGAAAGAAAAACACAAAACTACAATTCGAATGGAGATGTTAAACTATAAAGTAAAAGGCTGATGGAAAACTGAAGTATTTTCCTCATAATCAGTAAACATTTTAAGACGTGCCAAAATGAAAACCTCCACTGACTTTATGAGATTGTAGCCTAGCTATGCAGACACTATTTAGAAAATTTTTTGAACTCATAATCGAGTAATTAATAATGAATATATCTCATAGATAATTACGTAAAATGGCTCTTAGGTGTTTTACAAAAATGTTCTTTCTTTAAAAATAAAAATAACCTCAGCGCTCTATTTTATTTTCGGAAACATGCCAGCAAGTACATTGCATTTGAGCAAATGTGGAAATGAAAGCACTAAGACTCAGGAAGCTATTCCTCAGAAATTGGTGGGGAGCCCGCAGCCTTGGGGCCACATGTGCCTTCTGGATCCATGAGTTTGGCCTTTTGACTGAATCTAAATTTTACAGAACAAATCCTTTTAATGAAGGCATTTATTCTGTGACGTTTGGATTCGGTTGAGGGGCTGCACTTGGGGGTCTGGAGGGCCACATGTTCCTCACCCTTCAGCCTGCGACCCTCATCTGTGCTTGCCAGAAATGGTTTAAACCTATAATGAAAGGTTGTTCTCAGATCAATCTTCCGTAAACACCAATTTCAACATGCCACTCCCCTGGTCAAAAATTTCCAATGTCTACTGACTGCCCGATTCACCAATCAAAATTTTCCACAGAGCACTAGCACTCCTAAAAATCTGTCCTTTCACCCCAAAGCAAAAGGATATTCACCAATCAATTTAAATCAAAAAAAGCAAAGTATGTTCACAATCAAAATTATCTACTAACTTATTTCAGTTCAGTAAACAATTTAATTCACGGTATGTATTACAAGAAAGGTACTGTGATAAGTACCAGAGACAAAGATAAATGAGACATGATATTTGCTCTAATGGTATTTACTGTCTTGTGGGCGAGACTGTCAGGATTTCAAGACAATGTGATACACGCTATTATGGAGGAGGGAAAGGGTGCCATTAGAGCCTACAAGAAGAACAACTAATTAGCTCAATTTTGCCTTTCCACAATGTGTATATTTCAAAATATCATGTTGAACACAATAAACATACATAATTTTTTTCAATAAAAAAAAGTCTTACGCAGGGCCCACCCCAGGCACTCCACACACACACACTAAGGGCTTCCCAGGTAAAGGGTATAGGGAAGCAGGTCCAGATTGAAGAAAAGCCAGAAAAAATAGTTCCCCGTTGTCCCAGGGTAAAGTGAGCTGACAGTGAAGACCTGGGAAGGATCAGGGTCATGGAAGACCTTGTACGCCATGCTAAGGAGCTTGAAGTTAATCCTAGCCATGCACTGTGCAATGCCCACCCGCTTCACTGCACCTCGTCTGACATCACTAAGTGATTATGACGAACTCAACAGCAGCACTTACAGTGGCCACTACAAAATTAATCAGAGCTGGTTCATGAGCTAAAACCAATGTTCAAATCCCTGATGTATATGAAAGGAAGTCACCAAAGGGTTACTTTAACATGAGGGAGTGTAGCATAATCAGATTGCAGAGGTAGAAGATGGACTTGAGAGGATTAAGGACAGGGCAAAGTAGACTTATTAGAAATTATAGTAAAACTAATTCAGAGAGGAGGGCCCAAACCTAGGCAGCCATAGTTGACAAAGACATGGGGGAGGGGGGTGGATTCAAGAAATACTTAGAAGGCAAATGAGTTGAGATTTGGTGACTCATTCAATGTAGACAACATAGGAAGGGAAGGAATGAAGAATGCCCTCCAAGTTTCTGCTTCAGGGATTAAGAGGACTATGACACCAAAGATATGGTACAATATACACGAAGAGGGCAGACTATGTGTGGGATGAAGGAAAGGAAGGAGATGAGAGATCAGTTTTGGACATGTTGCCTTTGACATGCCTATGGGATAGTCAGCTGGAGACACTCACCAGACGTTTGATTGCATGGAAAGCACAGAAGAGCAGTGAAGGTTAGAGAAAAGGAATTAGAAATTATCAGCATATGGTTGCAGTTAGGAAAAAAAAATACAATGGTGAGATCACTCTGGAAGCCTAACAACTATGCACATGGCACTGTATAGAAACAACGGGGAATACAGTCTTAACTCTTACCGGTTTATCTCCGTGTCCCTGACGTGGGTTTTACCCTCAAGGAGTTTATCATCCAATGGAGAAAATAAAGACTGTGCAAATAACTAAACTGTAGGGTAGTAACTTGGAGCTATCCAATGAATAATGCAAAGAACCCAAGAGATATAAAGCTTAATTATGACTGAGGTGATAAAATAAACCTTTCAAGGTGGTTAGAATTTCTTTCTTTCTTTTCTTTCTGAGACAGGGTCTCACACTGTTACTTTGGCTAGAGTGCAGTGGCATCACCACAGCTCACTGCAACCTCAAACTCCTGGGCTCAAGCGATCCTCCTGCCTCAGCCTCCTAAGTAGCTGGGACTACAGGTGCACACCACCATGCCCAGGTAATTTGTCTATTTTTTGCAGATACGGGGGTCTCACTCTTGTTCAGGCTGGTCTGGAACTCCTGGCCTCCAGCAATCCTGGTTAGGATTTCAATAGGTAAAGAAGACAGACAGGGCATTCCAGAAAGAGGAACACCTCAGCAATGGGATGGAAATGAAAAGGGCAAGGCACATTCAGGCAAAGAGGACAGAGTGGCTACCAGGTACGGAAAGGGAACTAACCTTGATGCCTGGTTAGTCATTTAATGCCTACCGTAAGTCATTGATTTCATCATATTATCCATATGTTTTCTCTTTTAATCCCTAGAATCACATAATGAGTTGGGTATCCTTATTTACATTAAACTGAGGTGGAGATATGCTAATTAATTTCTCTAATTCTACAGCAGTAGCTGTGGTAGAGCAGGGATTTAAATCCAGTTTGGTGCACACTGCAGTGTCTTTCAATAACCTTTGGAGCCAGAAAGCATTTGGAGATCAGCAATAAAAATTAGTCTGGAATCAACAACATTCAATGCCTCAGCATAGATTCTGCAAGTTAAGATGAATGTAGCTAGCCACCAGAAGAGGTGGGGGCCACAGAAGACCCCCAATAAGACCGACCGTATTAGTGGAGCAGTAGGAGTGGAGGCCATGCTACAGTGAGCTGAGGCAGTTAGTACTCATTCAAGGATTTGGGTGATGAAAGAAAAAAAAAAAAAAAGACAAGACAAGACGGTGGCTGAGCATCCAACTCTGATGAGCTCAGTCTCACACCATGGTTTGAAACCACTGGGCTCCTCCCCAACTCTGTGTACCTTCACCCTTACTCTTTCCCCGAGCTGAGGTAACCGCTATGCTCCTCGTCCTGACCAAGTCCAACACGAGGCCCAGTTCCACTTTAGAACCTTCCTTGACCACTGTGTGCCCTTCTCTCTCCTCCTTAGGAGCTTATTTCACATGTCACCTATCAGTTACTACAAGGCACTTAATCATACACTGTGTGACAATGACACTTTACTTCACCTCCTCAGCTCCAAGCCATGAGTTCCTTCCAGTCAAACTCCACCATGTTTCACACTTTCCTTATACTTCCCTAAATACCTGGCATGAGAGTAGGCAGAAAATCCATATAAAACTAAGCAAGGAGTTAAATTAATCCAGAATTGGGGAATAAGGTCAATTATATGGCTGACCAATACAAATCCAAGGATTCCTCTCAAATCAAGAATTAAGTAGGGATGGGAAATGTAGACTCATGCCAGCCTCCCTTAGACTTCAGAAAGGATTAAAATCCCAGGCTCTCTGCCGTGCCCTGGGCCAAGTGGTTTATTTTAAAGTTCATCTCCTGCATGCCACAAATATGTAATGATCTTTATTAAGTTTCCCCTCATGAATAAAAATGAAGTCATAGCAATCTAATTGGAAAATTTTAAATTGCAAGCTGAGCCAGAAACTAATATTTGGTTCCAGAAGAAAAATATTAACAAAAATAAGCACAAGAGAAAAAGATTAAATGATCCAAGAACTGACATCTGGTGCTGCTGCGTCTGTTTAGAACTGGTAAAGCTTTTTTATTTTTCAATATTCTATTAGATAAATGAAAAATATGCTAATCTTTGGTTTCAGTTTCTAGAAATTTTTATATCCTTAAATAAGACAGATGCAGTCCTTTCAGGTTTAGACACACCAACAGGTTAAACAGAAAGAGCTCAGCAGAGGATACCATAAAAGTGATTTGCACAGAACACCACACAGCAGCCTTCATGCTTCGGTGAAGAACCAGAGATCCCTAAATCAATCTCTAATGGAAACTACATTTTCCATTATAAGTGGTTATAATGGGCTTCTTAAAAGCCCTTCATTCAATTAATGTTGACTTTCCCTCACATCAATACACTCTGGACTCATCTAAACACTGACTGATTAGAGTATCCTGCACTTACAATGTATTGCAGACCAAAAAGAATTTTATGAGAGAGCACAAGCTGAATCTTGCATCCAAATATTTCTTCTTTCACTCTTAAATCAGGATAGTCCATTTAAACCTAAATTCAGTTCATTATTTAAATAAAAATAGCACATACAAAATCCTTACCTCATAAGAGCTGTGTTGAAAACAAACTTTTTTTGTATTACCAGCATAGTGTTCCCCATTTGAGATCACGGCACCATTTACACATAATTTAAGGAGAGAGCTAGCAGAGACTCCCCAATTCCATCTAACCAGTGTGGACCCACACAGCATAGTATGGCTTTTTGAATTCGTATCTAACTCATTGAGCTCCTTGAATATTCATGTATAAGCCAGTCAGGACGAGAAACAGCAGTGTATCCATTATGTCTCTCAACTGTTTTCTCAATAACATGTTTCCAAATACACAAATG